AGCCTTGAACATAGATTGCAATAATTTAACAAGGGATATAATACTGGATTCAATATGTAGTAAGGATGGATTGATTCCTATGTAATTGACATTTTGTATGGGAAACCTTAGTGCCTTGACATAATTATCTAGAAATCTTCTTTTCTTGAAATCGTATCCAATAATGGTGATTTTCGAAAAATAATTGTTTGTAGCTTTATTAAATCTTTCAATGGAAAACAAAAGGTTTTCAAAAGAACCTCTGGTGTATTTCCTCTACCAACATTCTATTAATCAAGTTTTCGTTGTTCTGTAGCAAATTGTTCTGCGCTATAAAATTAATTGAAATAACTGAATTCCTTAGATATTGGACCAATGTTTTCCTTTGTCTTGCCACTAGATATTATTAAAATTGACCCTTCACTAGCCTGAAGAAAATCAAAAGCCCTTTCTATCTGCAACAATCACACCTCATTGTCGTTGCTTTGTTTCTGAAAGTCCTTCATATACCAATCGACATGTGAATCGCCTGCACCAAAACCTTTGTAAATAGCATGAAAGGGAAGAGTGATTAATCGACTGATCTAAGAGTATTTCTTCGAATACATATGCCTGGAAAATATCTCATTATTGGCAAACTAATGGAAAAAGAGCTACCAGCGCTGGACATCAGTACTTTATCAGTCACTACTGCCTCTGCTGCCTCTGGTGGAAAAGAAAGGCGCAAAAGAGAACTTAGAAGGCATAGCATCATCACAATGGAAACAGTCAAAGCATACTTCAAGTATTTCTGTAACTGCCCAAGATCCATTTGTTTACGCATCGTCTCTAAGGTGAGTTACACAAGAAACACCACAAGAAACACCAAAAGAAACACCAAAAGAAAAGTGCAAAAAAAAGTCGTTCAAAGCTGGTTCAAAAACTACAAAAATATCAGCCTGATCACAGCAAATTGGATAGGGGGTTGTTTATTAAGTATATGTTATGTGGCTATATAAGTATATCAAGAAACAAACAAATAATTAAATCGCTATATGAATATATCGCTACGGATCTATTTATTACTGATATGTATGTTATACAATAAAAGAACAAGAAAAGTATAAAAAGAGTACAGGGAGTATCGATGAAATAAGTAATTGAAGAGACATTAGGAACACCAGAAACAATAGGAACAATAGGGAGAACGAGAAATGGAAAATGAGAAATGGAAAATGAGAAATGGAAAATGAGAAATGGAAAATGAGAAATGGAAAATGAGAAATGGAAAATGAGAAATGGAAAATGAGAAACGGAAAATGGAAATGTGAGAATGAAAAACAAAATAACTTGAAATTTGTTCTAGACATGTTCAATTGAAAAAGACCAAACACCAGAATCTGCATCATAACTTTCGAATTTGGAGTTGCTCATAGAATGTAATTTGGTAATATGGGGTTTGACAATTGGATGGGTTCGATCAGTAATGATTTCTTTGTTCAAAACTGGAAAACAATTCTCAAGGGTGGCTCTTGGAAGAATATTAAATCCTTCACCCACAGGTGGTTTTTCATCTTCATTTGAATAAACATTACATGCTTGTTTATTGAATACGATTCTGTTTCTAGTAATCTCAGAATATGATAAAAACACAGAAAGATCAACAGGAACTTTAAACTCGATTTTACCATATCCTTCACGCCCAGTAGTGAAACTTTCAACTGAAAGTAACTTCATTAAAGATAGCTCATTGAGTTCATTAATTGAGGGAGAGTAGCAATAACCATCTTAGTCAGTAATTAAATTTTCTTTATCAGTACTTGATTTAAAGTTTAGGGCTTTCTCAGCGATACCATTCTCAAGATTTTGAGCTTTAGCATCATTCCCTTCTTTATCATGAGAATTGGAAAATTCTCCATTTTGATATTCAATTTCTTTAGGTTTTGAGTTTGATAAAGAAACAATCTTTTTTTCTGAACTGAAATCCAATGGTTTTTTGAACTTTCTAATAATTAAAGCTTTTGAATCTTCAGAATTAATCAAAGTGCGTTGAATAAGACCATCAATTTTGGCGTTAACTAATTTACTTGCTATAATTTTATTATTACTTCTATTAAAAACACTTGCTTTCATATCATTTGATTCCAATAAAGGAACAAATGATAAAATATCACTGAAAACCATAGTAGATGAACTGTTAGGAATCTTCGTTTGCCGAATCACAGATACATATGGTAATGTTTCTTTTAGTTCTGGGGTGATGAGTTTATAAAAATTGGGATTAGAAAAAAAAGGAGTTGCATGATATTCCTGATTGACCAATGATTGCTGTTGTGGTTGTGGTTGCAATTGATTCATGTTATTACCCAATGTGCAATACCCAATATCAATACCCAATATATTATTGTTAAAATTGCCGTTATCAAAGATACCATTATTATTATTATTATTATTATTATTATCATTAAATAAATTATTGGAATTACCAGTATTGTTATTATTAAATTAGTGGAATTGTTATTTAGATTACCATTTTGAAATAGACCGGTGTTATTGTTATTATTGTTATTGAAAAGACCTCCATTAAGATTTTGATTATTTTGTGTGTCGTTAAAAAGGCCACCTTTATTTTTGTTGTTATTATTGAATAAGCTACCTCCAGCGGAAAAAGAATTTGAATTATTAGCTTTGTTGTTTGTGTTGAAAAGATTTCCAGTTAAACTAGTAGAGGTGTTAGTATTTGAACCGCCAAAACAAATTATTTGAGGCGATATTATTATTATTATTATTATTATTATTATTATTATTATTATTATTATTATTATTACCAAATGAATCAAAAGCTGAATTGTTATTGTCCCCAAATAAACCACCGGTATTATTGTTTGAGTTTCCAAATAAGTCACCGCTAGTTGTATTATTCGAGAAGCTAAAAACAGTGCTGTTATTATTGTTATTGCTGAATAGAGTATTAGAAAATGAATTATTCCCTGAGCCAAAAATTGAATTCGGATTGTTATCTGTGTCAAATCTTCTATTTTGAGAGTAATCTTGAAATCTTAATTCTTCAAAAGAATAGTTTTTGTATTCCGGCATTGCAGTAATACTTTGAAATATGTTAGTTGGGCCTGTTACGTCTTTTTCATTAAAAGATTCAAATGGTTTTAGGGGTGTTCCACTAGTAGTGTATTTGGTGTTATTTGCATTTCCAAATAAGCCCATGGACGAGGTATGGGTATTATTATTTAAACTAAAAGGAGATAAGATGTTATTATTTGACCCAAATAGCCCACCACTGTTTGAGTTAAAGGAATTAAAAAGATGGTTTGAGATGGAATTGTTGACATTGTTGGATCCAAACAAACCACCTGAGGAATTATTGGGATTGTTCGAGGTGTTTCCCCAAAGACCCCAAAGATGCTCTTATTGGTGTTTGTATTGTTATTGGAGCCAAATAACTCACCACTGGCGATGTTTGTATTTCCAAAAGTGTTGTTATTGGAGCCAAACCTTCCAAACTTTGAAGTAAAAAATATTGTAGAGAAAACAAATAGGTATGAGTAGAATACTTAATACTAAGAATTGATTGAAAAGAAAACAGATGCTTTTTATAGCTGTGGTGATGAATCAAAGGAGGAACCAAATCTCTTCCTCTGAAATAAATTTTTCCTTAGAAAAAAACTGGAGCACGTGATGATTAAGGGTCAGCTGAGATCTATGCAGTGATTATGCAAACTGTGCATAATCAAGCTCAGCATGCATGATATTTCAGTTACCACTTCGGTGGGTTCAATTTTGAGATAAAGAAAAAGATCAAAGAAAAGTATTGTTCTTTCTTTCTAGTGTTAAAATGCGATTAGGAGGTTGTCGTCCAGTCAATACCCAGCTATTTATTAGTGCTATCACCATTTACCTTGCCAAAGGATGAAAAGGTGCTGGAAATTTTTAATAATTAGTTTAAGTTCAGCCGAAAATGAAGCATTTGCACTTGCCTTGTCTATCCAAATCTTCTTAATAAATCTTTCATTAAACTTCCTCAACTCATTCTGAAACTTTTAACTAGCCAGAATAATTTCATTTCCAGATAAATGCAACATGTCTCTATTTTAGAAATTGCATTGTGATTGTGATTTAGTTGATTTAGCTTTCCAAATCCCTCCAGACTCCCAATATTTGTCAATTTATTATCGTACAATTCTAAACTGGTAAAGTGTTTCAAATAACTTATATTTTTTATTTCGATTATATTATTATTTCCTAAAATTAGCAAATTCAAATTAACCAGCTTGTCCAGGTTTTCAATTTCGTAAATACCATAATTAAACAGCTTCAATTTTTGAGCTTACTTAACTAATCTGAATTTTCAATTTTGGCAATCATATTTCCATATATCATTACTTTCTCTAAATTGACTAACCTATTCAAATTCTGAAGCCTTATCATTTGATTTTGTGCAATAAACAACCCTTGGAGATCTGTTAAATAATTAAAATTTTCAATTTTTCTAATATTATTTTTGTGGAACGGAAGTGTGTTTGAATTGATCAACTCATCTAGATTCTGAATTTTCGTGATTTCAATATTATTTAACTGAAGGTTCTCTAGATTGACTGACTTATCAAAAGTTTTGATTTTCTTGATATTGCCCTCTACCGAATAAGATTATAAATTAAAATTCAATATACAAACATTGAGATTATCACTTTCATTTTTAATTGCACTAATTTTGTTACTTGAAATAAAAAAGGTTTATAGATTTTTTAATTTCTCAATATTTTGAATATTTTGAATATTTTGAATATTTTGAATTTTTTCAATTAAATTATTATTTAAATTTAACTGGCTCAAACTTTTCAAGCTATTAAATGCAGTTGAACTTCTAGTTATCATATTTTTATCAAGATCTAATACTTCAAGAATTTTGGTTTTGAAAATGAAAGAAAAATTGTCTTGATTCTACACCAACTGATATGCAAGTTTTTAAAATTAATTAAACTATCAAAATTCTCAACAATTTCTAAGTTGTCATTGAAACATAAATTTATTATTTCCATATGAGTTAATTCGTTTATAATCAGCAACAGAGAAAATAAACCTTTGGCCTTTCTCAGGTTGCTCTCCAATGATTCAGTGTCCAGATATAACATCAGGCAATCTTTCCATGGCCTTCTTTAAAATCTTCATCAAAGGCTTCTTTCATTAAAGCTTATTCAAACTCTGCAATCTCCCTTACGCAACTCTCTAGCAACTTTCCTTTGAGTTCTGATTTCTTGAATATAATCTCAGAAGTAATATGAACAGCTCTTTGACGCATAATTACTCTAGTACTCCTGATATATCACTAACCGCTACTAAAATATTGAGCAATTCTGAATATTCCATCAACAATCAAAACACTCACACAATTCAAAACAATTTTTTCCATCAAAGTAATTTTGATTTAATTGATTTGAACTCAAATGATTCAGTGAATAGCTCAAATAATCCAATGAAT